AAATGTTGAAAGCTTTTCCTTTAAGATCAGGAATAAGACAAGGATGCCCATTCTCACCACTTTTATTCAACACAGTCTTGAAAGCCCTACCCAGAGCAAAAGGTACATGGAAAAGAAATAAAAGACATCCAGAGAAGCAAGGAAGATATACAACATTTGCTATTTGCAGATGAGATGATATTATATATAGAAAACCCTAAAAACTCCATAAAAGATTGTTAGAAATTGTAATGAACTCAGTAGAGTTGCAGAATTCAAAATCAATATACAAAAATCTGTTGCTTTTCTGTACACTAATAAAATATTTTCAAATAGATAAATTAAGGTCCTGGCAGGTATGACTCAGTTGGTTGGATGTCTTCCGGTGCAGTGAAAGGTTGCCAGTTCAATTCCAGGTTAGGGCATGTGCCTGGGTTGCAGGCTTGATCCCGGTAGGGGGTACACAGGAGACAGCCAATCCATGCGCTCTCACATTGATGTTTCTCTTTCTCCCTCTCCCTTTCTCTCTCTAAAAAACTCCCTTTCCAGCTTCTCTAACATCCTTTTGCTAAGTCCCAAAAATTAGAGGGAAAGGGGCAAACTCTTAACTCAAGATGTAGAATAGGACATGACCTAGTGAGATAAGTCTTGTATACAGTGAACGGGAGAAGGATATATGAAACAAAGGAGGTTGAAAAAAACTCACCGTTAGGGTATGTGACATTATTATTAGAGTACAGATAAATTTAATTAAACATTTCGGGTACCAATTATTACAGTATTTATTTTATGAAGGAAAGATTTAGTGGCTTAAATCAACATACATTTATTATTTTTAGTTTTTATAGGTCAGAAATCTGGGTGAGACTTAGCTGAGTCCTCTAGTTCAGGTTCACTTAGAAGGTTGCAGTGATCTGGGGCTGGTCTGCTTCCATATGCGGTTATTAGTAGGAATCAGGTGCTCCTGGGTTGTTGGACTGAGGGCCTCAGTTCCTTGCTGGCTATTGGCTGGACACCTTCCTTAGTTCCTTGCTATGTAGGCCTCTCCGTGGGGTCACTCACAGCAGGCAGCCTGCTTCCCTCTGAGCAAGCAAGGAAGAGAGGAAGACAACAAGCAAGTCAGGAGTGTAACTGCACAGAAACCTTATTTTCTTTAATGTGACCTTTGATTTTGATTTTTTGTTCCCTTTGACTCAAACTGGCCTCACCTAGTTCCCTGACTCATCAACTCCCTCTCCCTTGCTTAGTCATTAAGCCCTCAGGACAATGAGGTTCTGGTCAGCATCTAGTAGTTGACCACAGAGAAAGAGATTCAGTCAAATCAGAGATAACACCTAAGCCAGTTGATTTCAGCTCCAGATTGACCGCACCGACCACATCCTTTTTTATTTATTTTTTATTGTCTAAAGTTTTACATATGTCTACTTTTTCCCCAATTGACCCCCCCTCCCCCCCAGCCATTCCCACCCTGGGCAAGCCCCCACAGCCCAGTCCAACCACATCCTTATGAAACCAGACGAAGCAACCTGATGTCAGGACCAGACGCAATGATCAACTACTCCCTACTCTAGTATTGACCAATCAGTGAAGACCACAACCCTGACCTTGACCCCTAACTCTCTTAGTCACTGGGATTAATGATTTTCCCCTATGTAACCCATCTTCTTGAGGCCATCCCAGAGCCAGGTCTTTGAGCATGAGCTACCTGTGACTCTGGGCACGGTGCCATCTTTTAATAAATCCTTACTTTCTTTGGTTACAAACTCCTGTTTGTGTCTTATTGGGCTTTGATGCGCCCAGGCAAACGGTTCCCTTTACTCTAGTAACAGGAGCCAGAATTCTTTTTGACAACCCATCATTTCTGCCATATTCTGTCTGGTAGAAGGAAGAACCCAGGTCCAGCCCACACTCAAGGTGAGTATTAACAGGGCATAAACACCAGGGGGGCAGGATCATTGGTGCCATCTTAGAAGCTGCCTACCACGTGGAGCATAACCAGGGTCCAACTTTCAAAATCAGAAAAGTTTGGCAGATAAATGTTTATATCCAATATTAAGGAGGGTGTACATTTTCTTACCTCACCAGCACATATTGAGTGTTTTTTAAAATTAAATTTATTGGGGTGACATTGGTCAACATGAACATATAGGTTTCAGGTATGTGTTTCTTTGTTATGAGATCTGTATATTGCCCTGTGTGCCCACCACCCAATGTTTGTATTGTGCTATGCTAGCTACAAAAAGTGGAAAAGGTCTTTAAAAATTGAAAAGATGATCTATGAAAAGAATATGGTGAAGGAGGGAGAAGATTATAAAATAAAAACCAAGGACAAAGAAAAGAATGAGAAAAATATCATACAAGGAAGGTGCATGACCATAGAGTAGAATTTCCACTTAAGCATTAAAATGTTCTCAAAAGACCCAGGAGATATGAGACAAATGAAATAGTTGCCATGATAAATGCCTTCTTAAAAACAACAGTTTTTTGTGTGTGTGTTTTTTTTTAACAACAGTTCTAATACATTTGACTGGCCCATCTACCAAACAATACTTGCTAAGGGGACAAAGTAGTATCTAATACCTGAATGTGCCATTATAAGGAACTTCTAGAGACAATTGGCCAAAGCTCCTTTATATTTCAAATGAGCAAACTGTATATTTAAGGACTTTATTTTCTTAAAAGAAGGAGTCTAAATGGGGGAAGAAATCAGAACCTTGGGGTAAATACTTTAGAAAAGGCTCTTTCCTAATCTAGGCAGGACTTGTGGTCTGGCTTCAACCTGTCTCTCAGGTCTCCTCTCTCATCACTCACTGATGGGCACATACTGCTGCAGCCACACTGGCCTCCAGGTCAGCAGAACACCAGTTCCTCCCCAAACCTCATTTCATTCAGTTCCCTGTTCCAATGTGTTAGGTGGCTCAGGAGGCGGCGTAGGAAATAAAGAGAATCGAGTCAATCAGAAAGAAAGAAAGGAAAGAAAAGAAAGGAAGGAAGGAAGGAAGGAAGGAAGGAAGGAAGGAAGGAAGGAAGGAAGGAAGGAGAAGGGGAAGGGGAGAGAAGGGAAGGAAAGGAAGGAAGAAAAAGAAAGGAAGGAAGGAAGGAAGGAAGGAAGGAAGGAAGGAAGGAAGGAAGGAAAGGAAAGAGAGAAAGAGAGAAAGAGAGAAAGAGAGAAAGAGAGAGAGAAAGAAAGAAAGAAAGAAAGAAAGAAAGAAAGAAAGAAAGAAAGAAAGAAAGAAAGGAAGGAAAGAGAGAAAGAGAGAAAGAGAGAAAGAGAGAAAGAGAGAGAGAAAGAAAGAAAGAAAGAAAGAAAGAAAGAAAGGAAGGAAGGAAGGAAGGAAGGAAGGAAGGAAGGAAGGAAGGAAGAAGAAAGAAAGAAAGAAAGAAAGAAAGAAAGAAAGAAAGAAAGAAAGAAAGAAAGAAAGAAAGAAAAGAAAGAAAAGAAAAGGTTTTAATCTGCGTCCCCGGGCAACTCACGAACCCCAAGGCAGGGCCAGTGGATTTGCGCCAACAGGGAGGGGGCGCTTTGTTTTATACTGCGGTTGGGTGAGGGGCTGGGGCATGAACTGAGGAAGTTCCCCCCGCAGGGGGTTGGCAGGGTATTCAGGAAGGAGTCAGTATCTGTGTGGGGGTCGTTGTGGATACCAGAGAGGAGCCGGTATCTGTGTCTGGCACGCTGATCTGTTAGAAATTCCAGGGAGGGTCCATTATCTCATCACACATCTGCATGCATCTGATCCTGGGCTCCCTTTGACCTAACACAATGGACTTGACTGCTATCTATAATAGCATAGACCTGCCCCTTCCTCTTACCTTGCTTTTATTTTTCTTCATGGTAGTTACCACTTTCTGAAATTATAGTGTGCCTTTTTGTTTTTTAATCCTCACCCGAGGATATTTTTTCACTTTGATAATTTATTTACTTATTTTTAAATATATTTTTACTGATGAGAGAGAATCATTGAGTCCCCTAATGAGGACAGAGCCTGCAACCCAGGCACGTACTCTGGCCGGATAGGGAATCAAACCGTGACCTCTTGGTTCACAGGTAGATGCTCAACCATTAGAGAGAGTGGAAGGGAGGGAACAGAAAGGAAGAGAGAGAGAGATAGAGAGATACATCGAGGTGAGAGAGACCCATTGATTGGTTGCCTTCCACAAAGGGCAGGGGAGGTAAGTGCCCTTGACCAGGAATGGGACCTGCGATGCTCTAACCACTGAGAAACCGGCCGGCTATTTTAAAAATCTGTTTATTGCCTGACTCCTCCACTGAGACAAAAGCTCTGTGAATTAAAGGCCGTTAGCTCACTGCTCTAGGACCTGGAAAAGCAATCCATTGCCTCTGGTCAATAGTATCCTTGAGTGAATGAAAGAGAACATATAGTAAGTGAAGCCCATAAAAACATGTCAGCAGCAATGCATAACAAAAAGGGCGAAATGTGAAGAATAAGCAATGACAATTTGGTAGAATTGTGTTAATATGAATTCATGTGTAAGTGAAGAATTTTTATACTTACGTATAATACGTAATTCATCCTGAAACACTCAAATGAGCGAATTTACTTGAAAATAGGACAATATACAAATCTTCCCGCAGAGCACTCCCTTTTCCTCTAGATGCCGTGTGCTAACTTCTTGTGGAGTATCCACCGGGAGCCTGAGCTCATCCTCCTCCTTTTAGAAAAAGGTATTCTTGTCGCTACTCGATTGGCTGGCCCTCCGAGAAGCCCTATTTTCATTGGCCCCAACACCAGGCCATCACCGACTCGAGCACTCCATTGGTTCGCTCCGCAGACAGCTGCTGCCGCCTGCTTTCCGGCGGGAGGGGTTTCCCCGATGACGTCCATGGCACCGCCCGCCCACATTCCAAAGCCGGGGCCTAGACTGTCTGCGGCCCCAGCCTTTGGGAGCGGGACGGGCGGAGAAGAAGACTTCTGATTGGGTAGGGAAGGCGAGATGCGTATCCTATTGGTCACTGCCCTGGACGGAGGTGGAGTCGTGGGTGGGTCCCGGAGTCGGGCTGAGGAGCTCTGGGGAGACGCAAAGTTTGCGTCTGGAGCGGTAGTGGGAAGTGGGCTCACCGAGGAGGGGTTTTTCTCGCGGCGAGAGCCGTTCTCCCACCTTCACTGTGGATGTACACGCAGCTTTAACCCCTGCAGCCTTCGGCCCGATCCCTCGACTGCCTGTCTCCCCCGGGGATTCTCAGGTCTCCGAGCACCCGGGACGGGACCCCTGGGCCGTTCTCTCCCGCGGGGGAGCGGACGTTTCCTTCCTCAGTGCACAAGCTACACGCACACGCGCGCGCACACGCACTCACGCGCGGAGCCGGATCGCCCTCCGCGGCGCCGCAGCCAGCGCCCGCCTGCGCTCAGCATCCCCGGCCCCGCGCGCCTCGGACCACCATGGAGGTGCTGGAGAGCGGGGAGCAGAGCGCCCTGCAGTGGGACCGCAAGCTGAGCGAGCTGTCAGAGCCGGGGGACCCCGAGGCTCTCACGTACCCCACGGTGAGGACGCGGCGGGGCCGGGCGGGCGGCCGAGGAGGGGGAGTGTTGGCATCAGAGGACAGCTGGGGACAGGGCGCTGGGATGGACATATTTGGGAAGAGGCTTGCCCAGAACGGAGAGATCTGGGGAGAGGCGTGGTTGTTTGTTTGTTTGTTTTTTAATCTGAACAGATAAAGGTGGGCAGCCGGCCCTTTTAAACTTTCAATAGTAGCGATGACCCTGTTGCGTTAGCAATTTGTACCACTCCCCCGGGCCTTTTCGCATCTGCAGGATCATTTCCTATTATCGTCAGTATTGTAAAGCGGGAGAAGGGTAAGGCGTTTTGAGGATAATGCGCCTCTGTTTCAGTTAGATTTTTGTGGGAAGGCTTTTACAATCTAGACAAAATAAAGTAGTGTTTTCTTTCCTTGAGTGTCATATTCTCTCTTTTCCTTTACTGATTAATATTTCAACAAGTGCACGTGTGTGTGTGTGTGTGTGTGTGTGTGTGTGTTGTTGGAAAGGCCCCTGGCATTGGAGGAAGATTGCTTTATTTGGCTCCTTTCACGGGACAGCCAAGAACTCTGCTTCCTCCCTCTTCAGAGGAAGGATCGGCGGAGGAGTGTGGAAAGTCTGAGGCAGTGGCATATTTCAGAAGGGCTTTGGAGGAGCTGGGACAGCACACCAGTTCCTGCCTCAGAGACCCCTTTGGGGAGTAAGCTGTCACAGAACAAAGACATTTCTTTGAAAGTTTTCAATCTCAGTTTCTTGGTATTAAATTTGAAAAATGAAATTTTGTTTTTAGCAGCCAACACTGGGACTTTTTGTGAGATCTTTGTTTTTTTATAAACACAGAAGTTTGTAATAGAGGGGGGAGAGGTAAAAAGAGGGAAAGAGAGGGAGAGAAAACAACACTAATGAGAAAAGGAGAGGCTTGGTTATTTCCCCTTCATGATTCTTTTAATGGGGTCAGCGCCAGGATATTTGAAACTTTTGCAAAATGGCCTGCAGACTCCACCTCTATGGCCTTTGCCTCTGCCTGACATTATTTTGGGAAAAGGGACGAGGACTCCCTATGATTCCCACCAAAGCATCAGTGGTGGCTGAGGATGACTTGTTTAAAAAATGCAGAGTGCAGGGCTGAGAAGGAGTGGTCGCTCACAAGCCAGATGTGTGGTGTGGTCTGCCAAGCCTGTCCCTGGGAGACAGCGTGGGCGCATTTGGATTGGGGGCCCAGATGTGCTTCCTGTTATCAGTACAGAACTTCGAGCACGTTAGCCCTCAAAAATCTCCTGATGATTGGATGCTCCAGATGTTTCTCCTGACCTGGGCTGCATTTTAACCATTTGCGGAGGGCAGCTCTTCTCTTTTGTTCTTACACTGAAAAATGTCTCATCCAGCAGCTATAATGTCACAGCTTCGAGGCTGCCTCGAGCTGGTGGGATGAATTATGCACAGGCCTCCATGTTTCCTTTCTTGGGCCCTGTGGCTTGCAAGTGTGAGATCACAGGCCAGGTTTGGAGATGCTCCCTGTGACGGTAACATTCACTCCTGGCAGCTTAGACTGGCGCTAACATCTTCATGCACCGTTTGAGGGACAGAGGCCCTTACATTCCTTTCGGTATTAAAGACTCAGTTTTCCTATTCATTGTTATGAAGCAGTGATGTGTGATTATTTTTCTTCTGATTTTATTTTTTAAATGACTTGATGTTCACCACTTGAGGACACATCTCTCTTCTGGGGAGCTCACTCATATAAAATGCCTCTCACGATTGCCTCAAGTCGTTGGCAACAAACCATGTATATGAATTAGTGTTGAAAGAGGTGTTGGGTTTACTAGCACAGAGGACTGGATTATATTCCTTCTAAACTAAGGGGACTTTGGCAGAGATTTGAAAATAGATAACTCCCCATCTGTTTCTTGAACTCTGTTGGGTATCCAGTTGCAGAGCTGGTTATTACGGCCATTTGTCTGTAATGTGGAATGGACTGACCTACAGGTAGAAAAAGGATGGCCTGAATATGCATTCATTCAAAGGTTTACTTGTTTTTTTAATGAACAGTTATTGAATGTCTTCTGCATGCCAACACTGTTCTAAACAGTTTTGGATACATCAGTGAATAAAAGGAGGCAAAAAATTCCTGATCTTGAAAAGCTCACATTCCAGTGTGTGTGTGTGTGTGTGTGTGTGTGTGTGTGTGTGTGTGTGTGTGTTTAGGGGAAGATAAACAAGTGGAGGTCAGTGAAATAGCATAATAGGCAATATACATGCTATGGAAAAAGTAAAAGTAGAACAAGGTGTAAGGGCAAAATATGATATTGAATTGAGCAATAAGGGGATCTGAACAAAGGCTTGAAGGGGGAGAAAGTTATTTCAGTAGGATGAAAAGCAGAGCAAAGGCCCTGAGGTGGGAGTGCACCTGGCATGCACTTATGGTAACATCATTTTCTATTTTAGATACCCCCATTTTGGTCAATTATTTTCCCTGTTAAGTGCAGGTAACTTCTGAGACACAGTACCTATGTTTGGAATGACCCAGTAAACTCTTCAAGTTGAGTGGATTGGGCATTATATAAGGATAGGAGAGCCTGCAGGGAGGGTAAGACACAGATATAAATTAGGGAAGTGGCAAGATATGATAATGGCTACCATCTATTGAGTATTTATTACCTGAAAGGGAGGGCTGGCTTCGTGAGCCTGCTGCCTGTGCAGCCCCACAGGCCCCTGCATTTGGTTTATGCTCTGCTGTCACTATCTTGCAATCCTTAACAGTTTCTGAATAACTTTCCATTTTGCATTGGGTCCACAGATCATGAAGCTGGTTCTACTGAAAGGCATCGTATGCAATGCTTTTCAAACATTATACCATTGAACCCTCTTCATGACCCAATGAAAGAGTCATTTTTGTTATTTTCATTTTACAATAAAGAAAACTGAGGCCTAGTGAGCTTAAGCGACTTGGTGAAAGGTCCCCCAGCTAATTATTGACAGAACCGGAATTTCAATTCAAATCTGCCTGCCTTCAAAGCCCAAGTTCTTGCTTACCATTTCATCTGAATGCAGGGTCCAGAGTTAAACAGGAAGAACAGAGTCGGGGGCTGGGAGAAGATGCTGAGCCCGAACGCTGCTAATGTTTAACTGAGGTGATGGTGCCAGTCACTAAGCCTTCCTAGCGTGATCACTCTATTTGCTCTAAATGGGGATTTAGTTACCACATGCATGATTGCTAATGCCCTGTTGTAGCAAACCTGTGCCTGAGGCTGGGATTTTAAGGTCTCTCCGGCCTTCTGTGAGCCACCAGAAACAATGCTTTTCTCAATCATTTAGTCATGAAGAAGACTCCTGGTCCAGGAAGGACAAAGGCCCAAAGTCTACAAAATAATGAAGCACGAATAGAGTGAAAATGGGCTTGCTTGTTAGATCCTGAATTACTAGGGATTTGGCCTTCCTCTTGAAGCTTAAAAAATAGTTCCTATACAGATGATGAAATATAGTACTTTTATGAACGTGACTTGGGGGACCAGAGGTCAAGAGAAGGCGGGAGGGAGAAGGAGTTATTTACACTCTACCCCTTTGTACTGTTCAGATTTTTAACCCCTGAATGTATTTAGAAAATGACAAATGATAATTTAAAGGCACTACATAAAACTGGACTAGAGGTTATTTTAGCCTGAATTTCCTTGAAGGCAGAGGGAGATCTGGTGTGGTATTAACACTCAACACCACTCCAGCTGAGGAAGGCCTTGGGTGAAGAATAGAGAAGCAGGAGTGCTTGGTGGGCAGGTGGAGGATTGACAGTGGGTGTGTATGATAAACTTCCTGATCTTGATAACTTTCTTATATCTAAGTTTAATGATCTGGAAACAGGAATTTTGTCAATTATTTTATTTTATTTTTTAAAGTATACAACAGGAACTACCAAGTCTTTCTAAAGACAATGACAAGTTCTGCTTGTTTTAAGTGCAAAATTCCTATAAATCCAGTTCTTTGTAAAATGATTTGGTTGTTATACTGCTTAAATGTTGCGTCCAATTGGATCTTAAAGGGAAATGACTGACCCCAGACAGTGCTAGGTGGGGAGTTAAGGGGAAGGTCAGCCTCCCTGGTGTCCGGATGTGAAGGTCATCTGGTTTCCACATCTGTCACTGATTGCCAGGATGGAGGTGGCTCACCTCACAGGCTGATGGTTTCCCCTTCCTCTCCGCTGGTCCAGAGACGGATAGGGCTCCAGTGGGACACTGAAGCTTGTCGTTCATTGTTTATCTCCTGTTGTTGGCCCCTGGCTAGGTTCTGGGGGAAACCTGGGTCCTTGTGGCTTGAGAATATCATCACTTCTGGTCACCTGACCTCCACAAACTGAATAGAGGTGACGATTTCCAGAAGGAGACAAAACTCTGAAGTATAATTTGTCTTCAAGGCCCTCCTTTCACCTTTTTTCACCTTCATCTCTTTTGTGTTTCCTTTGTTTCTTGGACCCCAAGTGCTCACTATAATAATGTTCTCTTTCCAACATTTCCTCTTAATTTTGCTCTCAGGAAAGATTTGATAAGCTTACACTATTTAACAATAATTACTTCAAATCGAAAAGTTGAATCTCTAAATGGAGAGTTTAAGGCACTAGTTAGGTAACAGGGGAGAAATATTTGGGGAGTTGGTGATGAACCCTCACTACCCCTCTTCTATTCCATACATGTGGCTGTTATCCATAAAGTAGCCTTGCACATGTGTTGCTTATTTATCGATGTTCTAAAGGATTTTTATTGGCTTGGTGAGAAACCTTTGACCTATTATATTATTGTCTCTGAAATTGTTCTTATGCTGTTAACACGAGTTGGGGAAAGGTGGACTTGGGCATAGTCCTGAAAGATGAGAGTATGGTACTTGCCTTCTTTCTTGAAATATCCTGAGTGATAATATTCTATGCAGCACTGATATGAAGTTGTTCTTGCAAGAGAAAAAAGACATTGCATGTTGATTAATAATTGAATTAAATTACAGTGCTTGTAGCTGCAAGTAAC